CGATTCACGATAAGGCGGAGATTTATGTCGAGACTAAACCTTGCCTGCACATGAGTAGGCGTAAGTTCTTAGTTTGTACAAAACTTTAAAAAGTGATAAGTGTTTTGCTCAACAAGAATTAAAAGAACAAGATGTGTTTGTGAAACACTGATGCCCCCGTATATAAGCTTATGGCAAAGGTTCAGATTTCTCAAATGCAAGTCACAGTCCAGGTCAAAAGATAAAAAATGTTGGTAACCATATAAAGGTCTTGTCCCTTTGAAATTTGAAAGCTCTAGCTCCAACTGTTCTAAAGTTATGGCGAAGGTTAAAGCTTTTTAAAAGTAAGTAAAATGTCAAGGTCAAATAGGGCCCCATGGGAAGGTCTTGTCAAAAGTGATACACATGTTCGTGAAATGTGAAAGCCCTAGAACCAAACATTCACATGTTATGGCTAAGGTAAAGTTTTTCAACAGTAGGTCAATTTCCAAGGTCAAGGTCAATGCAAAAATTGTTGGTATCCAAAGGAAAGTCTTGTCCCAAGGAATACACATGTGAAGTATGAAAGCCTTTTAGCACCAAATGTTTAAAAGGTATGACCAAGATTAAAGTTTTTCAAAAGTTGGTCAAACTGTAAGGTCAAGGGGTCAAAGTGGTTGGTATCCAAAGGAAGGTCTTGTCACAAGGATTACATGTGTTAAGTATGAAAGCCCTAGCACTAACCATTCAAAACTTATGGCCAAGGTTACTGTTGTTCGAAAGTAGGTTTAACTCCTAGGTCAAGTCAAAGGGTCAAAGTGGTTGGTATCAAAAGTAGGGCCAAAGTTTTTTTTTTCTTTTGGTTTACGATTCCGCCGACCCTAATTTTCACCAATCATGAAAATAAAAATGTCTTTGTTCCGACATATTTCTCCGGATTTTTCTCAGCTGAACTGGTGGGTTTTTAATTTTAGAATGCATCTTAGTCAATAAGCGCTTATTAATATATGAGACGTTTACAAACATGTAGGTGACTGTAAATAAACACATGTGCAAACCAAATACGACGGTTCTGTCATGTAACAAGGTAATTCCTCACTGAAAGCAATGACACACACTTTAAGAACTTTTTCTGCATGGAAAAGTGAAAAAAATCTTTGATGCATGATCCCTTTCTCCAACTGCAATGTCTCAATTGGCAGGGATTTATCAGTACCTTCTCAGGGGCCGAAATTCGGCCCAATTCCCAATTGAAAAATGACCAATTTTTCCCAATTTGGCAGTATTTTTTCCCAGTTGGTGAACAATGCTTTTATATTTAATTATCTTGGAAAAACACTAAGTGAAATTGTCAGATTGTCTGTAATTTTCCTCGTAGTATTTAACTCATTTAATTAGCAAAGCTACAGTCATCACACGTTTAAAAACAATGTCAACATCGCCGACTTTTAGTCCGAATTTCCTCCGTTTTTCTGAAACTGCTGATATTGTGTGATAATATAGATTTATTAAGTTATTTCCACCTACGCAATTGATATACAAGTGAATGGTAAGAACTGTAGGCATTATTTCAGATAGAAAAATATATTTTCAATACATTTTTACATAAAAAGGAGACTTTTACTTTTTTGTAGGTTTATAATCTCCAGATTCTTATGATCTATGAATCTCATACACACATATACTACCCTAAGTTGTTTAAATATTTTATACTCATTGAATTCAAATCTGGTTTTATTTGTCAATTATTTATAATTGATCTTGTATGATGAAGTTGGATCATATTTAATTGTCTGTTTGGTTGCCCAATTTAGAGTTCATGCTAAATTGATATTTTTAAAAATGAATAACACCTGAATACATGATGTAAGCAATATTTTTATATTTTTCCTGATTTCATCAAATAGCCGATACTTTTCCCAATTCCCCAAAAATGGTGTATCCCAAAATAAGCTGATAAATCCCTGAATTTGGCTAAATTCAAACTGTAATATTGGAGAGTGCATGCCCAACCCTTACCTAGCAGGCACAGATACACCTATAGATAATAGTTAGGCCAGAATTGGACCCTTATTTTTAGTTTGTGGGGATACCGAGGTTTATAACACATCACATATCACTGAAGAGTACATATTAAAGAAGTTACACATCATGAACCAAGCACTGATTGACACACAAAAATCAGAATTAAATAAAAATGACATTAAGTCTAAAGTTAGAAATGAATTAAAAATTAAATAAAAAGAGATATGTGATCTAGACAATAAAACTTAAAAGTACTATTGACGTGTATTATTTTTATTAAAATCAACATTGCTGGTATTTTAAAATGAAATTTTTGAATCCTAAATTATTTTTATTTTTCGACCATCCAATGCATTTTTTTGAGACAGAAAATCGTAAACCAAAAAAATAATAACTTTGGCCTAAGGTCTTGTCACAAGGATTACATATGTGAAGTATGAAAGCCCTAGCACCAACTGTTCAAAAGTTATGGCAAAGGTTAAAGTTTTTCAAAAGTAGGTCAAACTCCACGGCCAAAATTGTTGGTATCCAAAGAAAGGTCTTGTCCCAAGAAACACACATGTGAAGTTTGATTGATTATTATTTTTTACGCCGAGTAGGCAATATTTCAGCCATATTTCGGCGGTAGGAATTTAAATATTACACGCAATACACCAATAGTCTAGTTTCGATCTTACTAGAGAGCGATACAGTTTAAGTGGGGTACTTTTATCAGCTCCCCATTTCCTGTTTGCTATAACTTTAATAATATTTAGTGCCTTTAAGCATTTTTCCTTAAGCATCTTTATATGTGGAATAAAAGAGAGTTTATTATCAAAGATGACACCTAAAAACTTTATTTCTTTAACTACTTTTATTGGATTTCCATTTAATTGCAAATTTGGATCATCATGAGTTTTCCGTTTTAAACAAAAATGCACACACGCCGTTTTACTCATTGAAAATTTAAAACCATTATTATCGGCCCAATTTTGAATTTTGTTTAGACATGATTGTAACCGCCGCTCAATAAAATTCATATTTTTGGACTTATAACACAGAACAAAGTCATCAACATATAAACTACCATGCATATCATTTTTAAGTACTTCTGCCAAACTATTTATTTTAATGCTAAATAATGTGACTGAAAGAATACTTCCTTGTGGTACATCCATTTCTTGTTCAAAATTGTCTGAAACTGTAGATCCTAATCGCACTTTAAAAGTTCTATTATTTAAAAAGTTCTTAATAAAATTAGGTAAATTTCCTTTGAGACCAATATTGTAAAGATCTTTTAAAATACCACATTTCCATGTAGTATCGTACGCTTTTTCTAAGTCAAAACATATAGATACAGCATGCTCTTTTTTAACGAAAGCATCTCTAATAAAGGTCTCTAGTCTTACTAACTGGTCAATAGTACTTCGGTTTTTTCTAAAACCACATTGTATATTTGTAAGAATGTTATTGGTTTCAAGAAACCATATTTATTTAATCGTTCATTGATCATCCGTTCCATGGTTTTACATAAGCAACTTGTTGACGCAATTGGTCGATAATTATTAGGGTCTGCATGGTCCTTTCCAGGTTTTGGAATAGGAATAATTGTGGCTTGAGTCCAGGAAGGTGGAATATCCCCTCGTTTCCAGATAGTATTAAAAATTTGCAGAAGACACTCTTTACTCTCTCTAGGAAGATGTTTAATTAATTGATAGTGGATATGATCCGGTCCTACAGCTGTGTCGTGAGATTTATCTAGAGATTTTTGCAACTCTTCAAAAGTGAATGGTTCATTATAACATTCTTTGTTTTCGGATGTAAAATCTAATGTTTTCTTTTCTTGAGTATTTTTGTATGTTATAAAACTAGGACTCATGTTGTTTGTCGAGGAATTCTTGGAGATTGCATTGGCTATTTTATTAGATATTTCATTCTTATCAGTAATAATTTGATTTCCAATACTAAGATGTTGATATTTTTCAGGACCTTTTCCTTTTATTTTTCTTATTGCGTTCCAAACTTTATTTATAGGGGTATGTGAATTTAGGTTTGAAACAAACTTTTTCCAAGATTTTCTTTTGCTAAAATTAATAGTTCTGCGAGCTTTTGCTCTAAATACACGAAAATTGCTTAAGTTTGATGATGTAGGTAATCTATTAAATAATCTTTCTGCTTTTTTGCGAGCTTTTATCGCTTCGTTGCATTCTTCTGTAAACCATGTTTTTTTCGTTCTAGTAGAATTTGTCGAGGTTTAAGGTATACATTCGTTTGCGATATTTAATAGTATTTCAGTAAAATTTTGAATAGGATCAGGATGGTTTTCAAATTTTTCAACAGAAATATTTTGTAAGCATAAGTATTCAAATTTATTCCAGTCAGCCTTGTTTAATTTCCAGTTTTGAACACTGTTGTTTTCGGAGGGTTTATGTACTTTAAGAATAATTGGGAAATGATCACTCCCGCATAAATCATCATGCACTGACCAATTTAGATCTAGGAGTAAAGAAGGATCTACTAAACTGATATCTATTGAAGAATATGAACCATTACCCGGATGCAAGTAGGTGTTTGAGCCGTCATTAAGTATACAAAGATTATGATGCGATATTGCATCTTCGATTATTTTCCCTTTATCTGTGATTTTGTCGCTACCCCATAGCGGATTATGGGCATTAAAGTCACCGACAATCAGAAATGGAGCAGGGAGTTGTTTTATTAATTTTGTGAGGTCTAAAAGTTGTAATTGATAGTGTGGGGGTACATATACAGAACAAAGGGTAATTGTTTTATCAAGGGAAAGGCGTACAGCTACTGCCTGAAGATTAGTTTTCAAACTTATTTGGCTGTGAATGTATTTATTGTCAATTGCTATAGAAGTACCACCAGATGCTCTATCAGTTTGAGCACAATGGTTATACATACTATAGTTTTTAATATTGATCTTATCTGTTTCTTTCAAATGTGTTTCTTGACGTAAACATAAAGCTACCGGGCAATGGTCCTGAATAAGTAATGATAATTCGTTAAAATTAACCCTAAAACCCCGACAATTCCATTGTATGAATGTAGGATGATTCATTTCTATTTCTTATATGATGGGAAATCCTCCCTTTATTTTTATTGGGCGATTCACTTCGGACTCCCGAGGAAGAATGGCATGGTGTAACGTCCATTTCCTCAAAGACCCCATATTTATTATGCAGAGCGACGGGATCTTTTGCTGCTTTCGGCAATCGATCACTCGACTGCTTCTTAGTGTTTTTAGAGGGAGATCTATTCTGTCTCCCAGATGATTTTGATATACCCGCAGCTGTTGACTTTGATGCAGTCGTAGCCACAGGGTTTGGTGCAGCCACAGCTGCAGGGCCTGCAGAAGCAGGTGTCGAAACAGATTTAGCTTTGTCATTTGATGACGTAGACATCTTAGATGTTAAGGTTTGCTTAAGAATATCATTCTCAGAAACCTGAGTAGAAACATCCTTCATTGAGGACGATTTTAAAACAGTTGCATATGATGTTAAATTTGGTCTAGGAACACTGTACATGTTGACTAGCTTCTTTGCTTCTGGGTACGGTATTTTTTTCTCAGATTTTACTTTTTGAATTTCTTTTTCTTTTTTCCATAAAGGACATTGTTTTGAAGAAGCCATATGGTTACCTTTACAGTTCTTGCATTTAGGTTCCTTTTGACAACCTTTGCCGTCATGTCCCTCTTCACCACACCTGAAACATGTTTCTGTGCCTTTGCAATTATTTTGTCCATGCCAAAATCGCTGGCATTTGAAACATCGAAGCGGATTTGGGACGAACAGTTCAACTTTCATTTGGTACAACCCAACTTTGATGTTCGTAGGGAGGGTTGGCATTCCAAAGGTAAGTATTTGTAGGTTCAGTGTTATCGTTACGTTTTTTGGTGAACCGTTTCACAGAGACCACACCCTGGGACTCCAATTCAGATTAGATTTCCTGTTCAGGAATATCATCCAGGTCATGGTCTCTGTCAAATAGAATACCTTTACTTTGGTTGAGTCCACTGTGAACTTTTGCAAGTACAGGTATATCTGCAAGTTTTTTTTAGTGCCAACAAGGATGTTGAATTCTGTTTTTTGGCTACTTCAATGAGAAGAGCACCTGTTTTCATCTTTTTAACCGACTTTGGTGTACCAATAACCCCCCTGTATACCTTTTTGTATTATAAAAGGCTATACTTTTGTCAAAGGCTTTGTATGTTGATCTGAAATCTGTGCTTCAAGTATGATGAAGCGGGGCCAGTGTTCCACAACAGAATTATTTTGTTCATCATTAAAAGATATTTCAAAACCTGATGGGTAACAACGTTTTTTTGAAAGGGCCATGGTTAGTTGAGAAAAGTTTCAGAGTCCTTGCTCCCCGCCCGCCTCGGAGCGCCAACAAGGGCAATATCTAGTCAAACAGACATCCAGTAAGACTGATACCAAGAGGATACAAAGAAACTATACTCAGACAGAATATGCCTGATTGACCCTAAGCCACCGCTTGATATATATATATATATATATATATATATATATATATATATATATATATATATATATATATATATGGTTGTGCCATTTAGGAGACCGCTCATATTTATATATTGGCATTAAGTAGCCTCTTAGAATAAGTAGACCAAAGCCGGTCGCCTTAACATTTTGACCCTCTCTGAACAGAAAATTAATGACTTTTTGATATTAAATTGACAATAGTTAATTTTAGTTAAGTATGTTTTTGTCCCTTAAATACCAAAAATATGCCAAAAATTTATGATTATAGAAATTTTTTAATTTAAATTTCAAGCAACGTATATATTGGTATTATTATATATCGTCATTATGTAGACCAGCTAAAACTTGCAAAATTAAATAAGATCTGCTATATATGTCTTATTTCTCCTAGTATTTAGTTTTAGATATTGTTCTCCCACTAATTTTGGGTATGTACAATTTGCTAAATAGAATAAAACTTTTTACGAGAAAATGAGCTTTAGAGTTTCGTGTTCATCAACTTCAAGGTTTTCGTGCGCAATGCCTTCCGAAAATTTTCGGAAATCCTCGGTATCCTTTACGACCTTCGGAGAAATAGGAGTCAGACAAAATTTTGGTAAGTAATAACAAATTATGATTTTTAAAAAATACTTATTCATGATACATTGCCTATATATTATGCACCCAATATCTTGCGGTTAACGTCTGGTATTTATTTATTGATAAAGACTTACGTATACTTATTAGCATGGAGGAAATTCGAATTGTAGTTTACCAACAGCGTGGTTTCAACAGATCGTTTGTTTGTTTTGAACATATTTTATTGACACAAGCAAATGGATCGGAAACAAGTTCTTACAACTTACTGGTTCCTAACAATTGATTACTTGAACAACATAATTGTAATCTGTGCTTATTCATAAATATATACTGAATAGCATAATATTAGACTGGTGGTATCGTTCTTGCGGAGATAAATTAAATATTCGATAATTTACCTGCAATACTAACTCTAATTTCCTATTATACGTGGGGTAGGGTTGGGTTGGAAATGGGAGTAAGGTGTTTCTAGGTTCAAACTTTTTTCACAGCCTAATCCAACCAGCCTTTCCTGGACAATTTTAATAGTAAAAGATTAATTGGGGGAGGGGAGGAACCCCCCCCCCCTCCAACCACGATACCACATCTCTGATGTCTATGGCAGCGGATACATGCATGCATAAATGTACATACAAATTTATGTACCTGTCCTCACAGCATCCCTCTTAGATTTCTTGTACATAAAACATAAAGTTCATTTGGTCAAGCCCAATATAGCAACAATTTTGAAATATCTTTAAAAATAAAGAGGAATTAAGGGCTACAAACTGCTAAAAAAATTCAAAGGGACCAGATTAATATTTTTAATCGGGTTAGAACTGGGGTTTGGGTGCAGGATGTGTGGAAATATTTTGTGGTGTATATTCCATATAGGCAAAAATGCTGTAGGCTACACATCATTTTTTTAAGGATATAAATTTGGTTGAAAAGGGGGGAGAAAAGTTGACGATAAATGTTGTCTATTAATTTTATTTTGTTGCAAATGCCAAAAAAAAAAGCATTTTTGACAATGCGCATTTTTGTACCCATAGTTACAGTCTAACTTTCTGTTTAATGACAAAAATATTTCTATAACTGGAAATAAAAATTAAGCCAAAGTTCAAGTGTTATATTAGGTCTGCATCAGCCTCCTTGCTTACCCATTATTTGCGCCTCAAGTTAAATCTGTGACATCACACTAGCCGACACATTACATGTAGTAGAAAGTAATAATATTATTATACGCCAATGATATTCTAAACAATCTATTACGCTGTACCTTTTGGCAGGAATGGAGGATTAACAGGTTATATCAGAGATGAGCACATCAGTTAATAGTTATATGTATTGTATTACACTTTCCATGATTGAGTAACAAAAGATATACTGTATAATTCTTGCAATATTTTTTCTATAATAGTAGACTCAGTTAACATCACTACCGTTAAAGAGTTTCGATCTACAGCACTGCTGATTTAATTTCCCAGATTTTATTAGAGATCTACAAGTACCTTTACAGGTCACTTAATTAGTACATGTATCTCAAATTTAATTGGGCAAATGAGAATTTTGTCTTTAACAACTTAAATGACTCAAAAATGTATTGCATGTTCAACATGTTCAAGGCAAATTATTTCCTTTATCATGAATTTATTCTAATTTTATGGGAGAATATATTTATAATTATGAAAGTACTAGTAAATCAGTCTACACATAAGTAAGAATTACCTCAACTATTTGAATTACTTTGCTGAATTTATTGCATTGTCTTTATTACTTAACAATCATGTAAAACTTTATTTCATGGCCGTAGGAACGGGGGGGGGGGGAGGGAGGGGGGTGCCCCCAATAATTTTGCCGAAATATAGAATACTATAGAAAACATAGCTACTATATGCTTGTGCCCCCTCAATAAAAACGCCTGATGACCTTTTTTTCTTTTTTTTTTAAAGCTTGTCAAAGAATTTTTGGTTGTTAGTGCCCCCCCCCCCAAAGAAAATGCATGGCTGTCCCCCCTCCCCCAAACTGAAATTGCTTCTTATGGGCCTGTATTTATTGATTTTTTTTAATGTTTCATTTATTTATAAACCTATTAAGTGTTTCATTTTGACAAGAAATATTAGAAGATAATCATAATTTCAGAAAGAAGTTGAAATCAAATAATAAAAGATTGAAATTAAAAAATAAAAGAGACCCGAAGAAAAACCGCTTGTTGACAAGCTTGAACAAGTCCTGATTCATATGAAACATATCCTGATCAATTTAAGCATTTTTTTTATATACATATAATGAAAAAAAATATTGTTTATCTTATGCAGTTGCCATGGAGAAGTTAACTTGCTTATATACTCTCAATTTAGTTATAAAACCATATAACAAGCAATATTTTTTTTTATTTTAATAAAATTGTTATGCAGAGTCTACATGTATTACTTGTATATCTACATATGTAGATTAGAAACTTTCGGTCGGGTTCAGTTTAATTTTGATCGGGTTAGCTAATACATTGTTGAGTCTTTTGATCAGCATGGACATGGTTTGATGGTATGATAATATTTTTACAGTTTCAATTTCTAAACTTTCCAGGAAAGTTTCCTGCATTTTGTACAATGTTAAATAATGTACAATGTACAATATATTTTCCCATGAATTTTTTTTTGAAATTATGTTTTAAAATTCTGACCAGATTTCCGAGGAAATTTTTAACTGCCTAGGGTGAGATTTATGACAGAGACATATAAAACCAAGTCTCTGAATAAATTAGATTTTGTTGACTTGTTTGCATTTATGCATTTATTTTTATTATAGTGTGTTCGGTACCACATAACATGCGAGAATACCTTCTCTAGTATGTTGGAGAAGATTAGCAAGAAAAAAGCGGGTGAGAAAATGAGAAGTTGACAGAAAAAGATTTTTTTCATTATCGAAAGGGACATGTACAACATCCATAATGGTAAGAAAAGATAATTATTTATAGTCATATTCATTTGTTTCTATAATGTTTCTTTCGATAACTTTTCACTCATATTGAAAAGCCAGCACTTGAGAACCTCTGTACTCAGGACCCTTGAGCAATGAGTAATTTTGTTCATGCCAGCACCTACTACAACATGGGACCTCAGTTTCATTTGAACACCGGTCTCCACATCCTGCAGTGGGATTCGAACCCCTGATGTTAGGATCAACTCCTTTATCTGTGACTCTAAACAAACACTTAAACCACTGCGCCATGCAAGCAGCTAGTCATACGTGTATTCCTTATGATGTGAGCTAGCATTATGAAAATTACATGTGCTGTAGATCATAGGTTGCTACATAGTTCTTTGTATGTTGCGCTAAAAATATGGTGTTCATCAATGATTCATTTTGGTGTGCGTCCTGCGTAAATTATGCACAAATTTTGCTCAGGACGCATTATTTTAATAAATGTACATCCCAATGCATGCAATAAATTTATAGAAGAACTTGTATTATTTGGTATAATCCGATCCTAAACTTGACTGATTGCATCATATCCATGTGCTAAGCGATATGCATGAACAATTTTAACAGGTATATATAAGGTTGCCAACAACAGGTCAGATTTCAAAATTGCAGCCAATTAACCAGCAATTATCAGAAAATATTTGAAAGTTAGATAGCATAGTTGGATTATCACTGATTATGTCTATACTGTGGAACATTTCTGAAGCGAATACTATACCTTTGTAAAAGCTATACATGTAACCTGTATCATTTTTTTTTCCTTACAAGCTAAGAAGTTTAAAATATAATCATTTTTA